TTGGTACGAAATTAATGAATAATACTATATATGTAAAGTAGGAATGTGCCATATACATTAATTAATGTATTAATTACCGTATCAATTAATAATATGACATAATTTAAAAGATCTTTAGTATTTGTAATTTATATAATGAGTGGAGTCAATAATAATATTATAACTAATGTTAGCACACCAGTTAGTACACTAATTGGTGCATGTAGCACTATCATAAATTAATTATTTATTGAGTAACGCTAGGGACTCCAAATATTTTACCAAATTGTGATACCCACATGGGAATCACGTCGTGTGGGTCCCACACTATGTGAGATATTTGGTTAAAACATTTGATAAAATATTTGGAGCCTTTAGCATTTTTCTTATTTATTAGAGTAAATTATCAATAGGTCATAATAGTTAAATTTAATTTTCATCAAGTACTATTAAAAATAAGTTATTATAAAATTGTTGCTAAAAATAATTTTTTGTGACGATTTTTTATATATTGTTAAAAATTGACAATTAGTGATTTTTTTTTGGGCACGGTTTTTATAAATTGCCATTAAAACTTACAATTTGTGATATGATAAATTTTTCAAAAGGTTAAAAAGTAAAAAATTAGTGACTTTTTGTGATGATTTTTTTAAACTGTTGCTAAAACTTATAATTAGTGATATTTTTTGTGACAATTTTTAAACTGTGACTGAAAATTAATAATTAGTAATGTTTTTTTAATAGTATGCAATAAAAATACCATCAATTATCATAGAACCGATTAGATAATAAGTTAATCTATTAGGCTGTACGCATAAGTTTTCCAAAAAAATTATTATATATGTATGACCCTATAACCCTGGTATGCTCAGGTTGGGATATTAACTAGTATTAATTTATTACTGTTTTGCTCTCTTACAAGTAATTATGGAAATGCAATAAACTTAAATGCTGTAGAGTTCGGATGACAGATGATTCTGAGCCGTTCTGAGTTTGTTACTTTGTCAATTAAGCATCAATATTTTTATTACCATTGCTTTAAAATTGTGCCCCTTGACCCCCCTGTGAATCTATTGCTTCCCTATTCGATTTCTGCATTACATTGCAGATTGCCCCATTTGATCCAACTAAAAAGAAGAAGAAGAAGAAGAAGAAGAAGAAGAAGAAGAAGAAGAAGAAGAAGAAGAAGAAGAAGAAGAAGAAGAAGGAGGAGGTTGTAATTCAAGATCCTGCAAATGATGCTGTGGACAACTTGTCTGAGAAAACTGAAAGTCTATCAGGTATATTAACTTTACAACGAAGAATTACTGTAAACGTAATTTACATACCTTGTTTTACATGTTTTTTTTTTTTTTTTTTCTTGAAGGATCTCTTATTATGTTGCTACATGCATTACTTTACACTTGTTGCAGTTTCTGATGGTCTTGAGAGTACCTTTTCTGGCTTGAAAAAGAAGAAGAAAAAATCGGTTAGTTATTATACCTATAATGAATGATTAGAGTCTTTCGAAACAATTTACGGATGGTCTGGTGACCACTGTATGTAATTCAAGTGCATACTGACTTGTTGAGTGATGAGAAAGAAAGTGCAGGGGATAATTTAGATGGTAAGAAGTTCTGTTATCAACACTTGCAATTAATGAACTGGTGGATTTAAGTTTATATGGTACAATAAGTTACATGTAAGATTAAAGTTCCCTCAGATTTGTAGATCATATTGGAGAGGATGAAGAAGGAGAAGGAATGGTCTCGCAACCACAGTTTCCATGGGAAGGGAATGACCGAGATTATAAATATGAAGAGGTACAATCCCTTTCCTCTTCTTCCCCCATCACTGTTCTGTTCTGTTGTAATAACTTTGCTCTTCATTGTTCTTGTATTATGATGGTTGTAATATAATTTATTTGCATATGTCATTTTCGTCATTAGTGATGGAATATTTGAATTTTGTAGCATTCATCAAATTTTGACTCTGAGGTTTACTAGAAATCTTCGAGTATGTGCTAGTTTCCATGGCAATGCGGACTGCCATGTTTGAAATGTGAGGCATTAGTATTACATCTGCACCATGTAGTTTATGTCAGATATTAAATGGCCTAGTTGTTGAAAGATAAAAATACTGTCACAATGTTCTGTTCTTGTATAATTCTTGACTTTCTTTTCTTGTCTCCATAAATTTATTACATGTTAGGCTGTCATATAACTAGGTGTCTCCGCAAGAAGCTAAGCATCACGGATACTCCTAAGATGAATGAATACATCATGTGTATTCAATGTGTTACAATTGTTTTGTATTCTTTGGAATGCAATTGTTATATGAATAATATCTTGATGTTCAAGTTATGGAATATATGGATTTTTTATTCTAATTAATGTCAAGTTGCTCTTTTTTCATTATGTTTGGATTTATTTATATGAAAGGATTTGTCACTTATTCATTCAAAGAGAATAGCTCAAATTTATAATTGATAGTTTAGATGGGACTTCAAGATTGTATTTAAGAGCTTTGTTAGGTGTGTATTTGAAATAACAATGCAAAAATAGTTATTTGAATTCGTGTCAAGTGTTCTAATTCTTCAATGATTCTTATAAAATACTTCTCTTTTATCTGTAATTTATCTTCCCCTCTTGTTTTTCAATCCACCTATAATTTTTAATCTCCTGTGTTTTTATAAAAATTAATCTAATGAAGCCTGATAGCCATCCAGACAAATGAAGCCTGATTCTCTATTTATGGATCTAATTATCTTCTCATTAATGTGTGCAGCTTCTGGATCGTGTGTTCCATATTCTTCGTGAGAATAATCCGGAGCTTGCTGGAGACGTAGAACATTCATGAGGCCGCCTCCTCAAGTTCTTCGTGAAGGCACAAAGAAAACTGTATTTGTGACCTTTATGGATCTATGCAAGACATATGGCCAATATCATTTTGATTTCCTTATTCATTATCTATTCTAGATGGATTTGATAGATGTTGTTTTACCTTGTCTATGGTCCAGGTGTTTGCTGTTTGTGAATGCATATTCTGATTATTTATTTGTTTATTTATAGTGATGTGATGAAATCTCGTATCAATGATTTTGCTTGTACATGTGTGTTCTAATTTGAGAGGATTTTGTTGCTTACGAAACCCTTCAAGAGATTGATTTACACCATAAATTGGATCACTTTTTGAGAAATACAGAACATTTCAGTTAATGAAACATTAGAAGGGCTAGATTGTTTGTAAAATAGAATTGTGGGTTGTGAACAGCAATTTGATTGGTGCGTAGACATTGGGACTTTAAGAAAGATTTGGTTCAGTAGTTTGATCAAGCTAATAGTTTACTTAATTGGCAAAAATGAGGTACAGTTTAGTTTGGGTCTACTGAACTAAAAATGAAATACAGTTCTAACTCAGAAAACATATTGCTTGGTTTTGTGTTCTTTTTCTGTTTTATTGTTATTATTGTTGTTATTATTATTATAAATATTCTATTATGAGTCCTTTTTAACGTCTGTCTGTTACGCCAGTATGCATAGGCAACCAGAGCATGTTATGACATTATTGCTGGCTGAAATGGGGACGAGTGGATTACTTGATGGACAACAAAGATAAGTTGTGAAGGGAAGATTTGCACCAAAAAATTTTGAGGGCATCCTGCGGAGATATGTCAGTAACTTCCGTCTGTGTAAATATAACTTAGATAATTGCCAAATTGGGTGTTAATAGTTAGTGGGCTCCTTTCTTGCTTGCTTACCAGTTAGCTAAAACTTATCGGCATGAATTCTGGTGTCCTCTGCATTTTATTAATTTTCATTTAACCACATTTCTGCTGTGTTCTTTGCACCCTTGAATTGTATTTTGGTGGTTACATATGTTTTTGTATTGTGCAGATGAGTATGTCATTTGCAATGGTTGCAAAAGTCCTGACACAATTCTCTCAAAGGAGAATCATCTCTTCTTTCTTAGATGTGAGAAGGTATTACTCTGTGATCCCTTTGTGTGTGTGATGAAGGTTTGGTTATGTTTGTTAGCATTGTTTGCTTTGACATGCTGTGCTGGCTTTGTTATTATTTTGCATCACCCTTTAATTGCCGCAAACAAAAGTTAAAGAGACAGAAATTACATTAGTTTCATGGGTGTGAGCAACATTTTTTTTTTCTTTCATTTTTTTTTTTTTAGTTTTCTGTTGCATTATGTTCTGGCTGGACTCGTTCATTTATCCAAACAAGTTGAAATGACCAATGCAAATACTGGGTTGGTAGTATAGCTCTATTTAATTTACAGATGCCCTTCGGTGGCTTATGATCTTGCTCTGCATTTACTTTTAGCTTAAAAATATGATAGAACACTTTGAAACACATAAATAGAGTCTCAAAACGTTTGTTATTAGGTTTGTGTAGTGCTAATGTTTTAGATTCACCCATTCAATGAGGTTGGAATAACCAATTAAAATGTAAGGTTGTTTCGTTTACTGAACATATTGTTATTGTTTTGTTCTTCCTGTGTGTGTACATTTAACTTGAAAAGCTGAAAATTTTGCAACTTGATTTTTTTGGGTGAGAAATGTGACCTGGTATTAAGATGTAAGAAGTTTGTTATTTCCACCTTTTTCATATTAAAGTGATGATAAAACTTGCAATGTTTCTTTGAGGCCTATGATAATTTAAAGATTTGCCTACATTGTCCGATTTGCATGTCATGATGGAGGAATCTGTAAACTGTACTGAGGCCACATGCATGCTGCTCACCTGTCCTAAAAATTGAATTTAGGAAGCAAATAAAAGTTGTGCTTTGACCTTGTTAGTAACTTTTTTTTTGGTATTTCTGTTTGCTCATTTTTTCCGGGCCTGTGATGATTTAAAGATTTGCCTACATCGTCTGATCTTGTCATATCATGATGGAGGAACCTGGAATTGTTCTGAGGCCTGTTAATGACTGCTTACCTGTCTATATATTGAACCCAAGAAATATATGTATAAAAAATTGTGTTTGATCTGTTGTTTTTTTTTTTTGGCAGATTTATTTGTTAATTATTTTGAGGCCTATGATGATCTAAATATTTGCTTACATTGCCCGATTATATCCATGACGGAGGAATCTGAACTTTTCTGAGGCCACATGAATGCTCACCTGTCTTAAAAAGTTCAATCAAAGTTGTGCTTGTGACGCAACGGAATACACGGGGACTAGATATCGTTCTAGTAGACGAAATGGGCTCTCGAATTTACGAGAAAAATAGAACCTTGAACACAAGGAAGAGAAAATATTTTAATATTATTGATTAAATGAATAAAAGTTCATTTGTCATGAGGTTTACATAGCTATTTATAATAAACTAAACCTAATACTTGTAGGAAAAGTAATTCTAAAATAAATTAGAAACTTAAATCAATACAAATAAGGAAACCTAAGAGAATAAGAAACTAAAATTCTAAACTATTTAAAATCATAGTCAAAATCTAATTTTAAAATAATAAAATTAATAAATAATATACCAAATATATTAAAACTAAAAATATAAAAATTCTTAAAATCTTGTCCTACATCAGACTCCTCTTCTTTGAAATAACTCGTCCTTGAGTTCATATTAGAGATCTGTCATCTTCCATGCCAAATAAAAAGATACTTGGAATATTTCAGTTGTTTGTCCCGCTTCCAAAAATTATATGCAGAGAAGTCTACTTTCTGAAAGTTATTCTCTATATGCTTCAACTGGTTGACAAGATCAATTAGACAAACTTTGAAAATTAAATTAAATTGCTTTACATCAAGAAAATCAACCAAATTTACTTCATGTAGAACTTGCATGCTTTCTTGATGTTGCACCATCCCAGATTCAATTGATCCTTCAATACCTTAGAATATCAAGTGTAGCATCAACCAATTTCTTTGTTGCATTTAGCGGCTGTATTATATCTTCTTCTAATTTCTCTTTGTTACTGGGCTTAATTAGATCTCATTTTTCCTCAATATTTTTATGATTTTTTTATAAAAATTTCTCCCCAATATTCAAATGACCATGTGTTGATGCATCATCAACACTCGAACAAGACTTTGTATCTTCTTCATTAGTTTTATAAACAATTTCACCACAAGAAATATTTGGATGGGAATTCTTTTATTTCGCAACTACAATTTCATTAAAAAAATTTATCAACTTTATGGAGGTATCTTGATTTGTATATGACAATATATCTTCATGATCATGATACCACTTGACGTGGCAGAACACATAGGGACTAGATATCGTTTTGGTAGACGAAAGGGGCTCTCGAATCCATGAGAAAAATAGAATTTTGAATCCACAAGAAAGAGAAAATATCTTAATATTATTGATTGAATGAATAAAAGTTCATTTGTCATGAGGCTTACATAGCTATTTATAATAAACCAAACCTAATACTTGTAGGAAAAGTAATTCTAAAATAAATTAGGAAACTTAAATCAATACAAATAAGGAAACCTAAGAGAATAAGAAATTAAAATTCTAAACTATTTAAAATCCTAGTCAAAATCTAATTCTAAAATAATAAAATAAATAAATAATATATCAAAAATATTAAAACTAAAAATATAAAAAATTTTAAAATCTTGTCCTACATCAGACTCCTCTTCTTTGAAATAACTCGTCATTGAGTTCATATTAGAGATCTGTCATCTTCCATGACAAATAAAAAGATACTTGGAATATTTCAGTTGCTTGTCCCTCTTCCAAAAATTATATGTAGAGAAGTCTACTTTCTGAAAGTTGTTCTCTATATGCTTCAACTGGTTGACAAAATCAATTAGACAAACTTTGAAAATTAAATTAAATTGCTTTACATCAACAAAATCAACTAAATTTACTTCATGTAGAACTTGCATGCTTTCTTGATGTTGCACGCTTTCTTGATGTTGCACCATCCCAGATTCAATGGATCCTTCAATACCTTAGAATATCAAGTGTAGCATCAATCAATTTCTTTGTTGCATTTAGCAGCTGTATTATCTCTTCTTCTAATTTCTCTTTGTTATTGGGCTTAATTAGATCTCCTTTTTCCTCAATATTTTTATGATTTTTTTGTAAAAATTTCTCCCCAATATTCAAATGACCATGTGTTGATGCATCATCAACACTCGAACAAGACTTTATATCTTCTTCATTAGTTTTACAAACAATCTTACCACAAGTAATATTTGGATGTGAATTCTTTTATTTCGCAACTACAATTTCATTAAAACAATTTATCAAGTCCATGGAGGTATCTTGATTTGTATATGACAATATATCTTCATGATCATGATACCACTTGACGTGGCGGAACACATGGGGACTAGATATCGTTTTGGTAGACGAAAGGGGCTCTCGAATTCACGAGAAAATACGAGAAAAATAGAAACTTGAATCCACAAGAAAGAGAAAATATCTTAATATTATTGATTGAATGAATAAAAGTTCATTTTCCACGGGACTTACATAACTATTTATAATAAACTAAACTTAATACTTGTAGGAAAAGTAATTCTAAATTAAACTAGGAAACTTAAATCAATACAAATAAAAAAACCTAAGAGAATGAGAAACTAAAATTCTAAACTATTTAAAATTCTAGTCAAAATCTAATTCTAAAATAATAAAATTAATAAATAATATATCAAAAATATTAAAATTAAAAATATAAAAATTCTTAAAATCTTTTCCTACATCAGCTTGTGTTTCATCTTTTTGCATTTTTTTTTTAGGGGTAGATTTATGTGCTCTAGTTGCAAATGACCAACCAAAGCACATGGTGGTTATTGCATTCTGATCTAGAAGTGTGAAAATTATTGCTGACTTGAAAATTTGCTTCCTTTTCTGGGAAATTGACTCACTTTTATTGTTTATGATTATTTTTTCATTCACTTGTAGTGTGGTTTTGGGCGATCAGTTGCTCCAATCAAGGCTGGTTTTGTAGCCCATGTTGGTTGCCGGAAGGCTGGAACATGATGCGGCAAGTTACATTTAGGCTTGTTTTGGAAAGTTGACTTTTATTTATTTTTTTTGGTTTGTAATAAAAGTTAAAAGTTGATTTTTAAAAATTTTTCTTATTTGGGAAGTTGGTTTTTAGTTAATGGTGAAATTATAATTTTACCCCTCATGGGTCAAAATGTGTTACATGAGTAAAGTTGTAAATATTTTAAACTAAATAGGGATAATTTAGTCATTTTATTATGATTTGATATCATAAATAAATATTAATTAAAAAAATCAAAAAGTCACTTTTTACCAAACTTGGTTAAAAGTCAAAAAAATCACTTTTTACCATCTTCTCAAAATAAGTCTTATTCTCTTTAGAAGATTTTTATGTAGTCGATATAAAACTAAGCAGTATTTCAATACTATGTTTCAAAAAGAATTTTTGGTGGGGGGGGGGTAAAAGACAATATTTCGATAGCAAGGAGCTTTTTTCATTCTGCTAGTGCTTGTTAATTTGTTGAGATATATGCTGTGGGGATTTATGTTAAATAAATGAGAATTCTAGTTTCCCAGCCAAAACACTAATTTTTGGAGGTTGATGGGTCATTTAAGTATAAAGTGAATGATCAGTCGCCTTCTCTTGAAATAAATGGTGATTTTGGGTCCGTCATCAATAATGCTATTGAGCCATTATGAAGATTTGGAATTTTTCTTTAATTTTTAAAGTTATTGAGTATTGGGACAGGAGGAATTTTATCCATGTGAACATTAGAAGTGGTAGGGTATATTGGGCTTGTTTGGTATGTGCCTTAAGATATAATTTTTGAAATTTTTTTTTAAAATTTTATTTGGTTTAAATTTTTAATTTTTTTTTTCAAAATCATTTTATCTCTCCTACATATCAATCAATCATTTTTTTTCTCTCTTCTCTCCTTCTCAATCATTTTTTTTTTTACACGCATTTACTCAACTATAACAAAATATCAAATCATTTTAAACTCCAAAACTATTTTCAAAATATACAACTAAACAAACCAAAAAAAAATTTAGACTCTCAAAAAAAAAATTGAAAATTTATCTCCAAATACAAACATTATTTCTTTCTGCACCTATTTTTTGAAAGGGAGATATGGAGGTGGGTGTAACCTAAAAATTAGGTAGTGGATTTCGTAGCAAAAGTGCTATTGATGCCTTCATTACTATTTTTTGTTTTTGTTTTGTTGTTGCGGCAAATATATGAACTTAATTACTAGTAAAACAAACAACAATAGCTTTCAATTCAAAATCTCAAAATAAAAAGCAAATTACTCACTTTGATTTGAATCTCCTCCTCTCTCATATTTTCTAATGTTCAAATATAATTTTCGTAAAATGTTTTGCAAGAAACTTTAGAATTATTGTCTACAATTTAATACTTGTATCCTGAAAATAAATTGTTTGTTCAAACTTAATCGAAAAACTTTGTTGTTAACTTTTATTTTAATCAAAATAGAGATATCAGCTGTCCATGGAGGGGGCTGGTTACCAAGAAGTTAAATTTCATGGCCAAAAAAATAGATGAGAGTATTATGCCTTCGTTTAGGATATGAGTTGGCTTTTTAACTTTTTAATTTTTATAATTTGAGATTAAAAAGTCTTATTTGGGATAGACTTTTTGACTTTTGTGATTTTTATGAGAAAAAAAATAAAATAATTATAATTATAATTTTAATGTAATATTTTATCTTATTAAATTAAAAAACTCATTTTATTTTTTTATAACTAAAATAATTGCAACGCAATTCAATCCAACTCAAACCTTCATGCCAAACATAGCCTCCGTTTGGGAAGTGGGTTGGCTTTTTAGCTTTTTGACTATTTTAGTCTGGGCTATTTTAGCTTGGTTTGGGAAGGGCTTTTTGGCTTTTTGACTTTTTTGACTTTTTTTGTGAGAGAGGATTGTAATAATTATGGATTGAATTTGATGTTTTATTTTTTGTGACTAAAATAGCCTATTTTATTTTTTGTGACTATTTTAATAAAAAAAAATCTGACTTTTTTCATCTCAAACGGAGCCATAGCCATATGTGTGGGTTGGATTTTGCTTAGCTTATCTACCACCAACACCTCCCAATTTCATTAGCTAAACAGCACGTATGATCTACGTGCCAATATAAGCCAAATAATTTGCATTAAACTTGACC